GCTTTCTGAGACAATGTTCCAAAGATATCAGTGTGCTCTCTCCTGTATGGTGGCTGGACTGGGATATCAATATATTTTTTTCACCAGTGGGTTGTTGTTGTTTTTTTCCAGTTTAATTTATCATGAAAATACCCTGGCAGAACTGAGATAACCTTGATTTCTTCATCCAAGCAGCTGCCTTGCCCCTATTCCTTAGTTCCAGCTCTCAGTCTGTGACCAACAAGAAGCAAAAAAGCATCTTTTAGTAGGAGGGTCATCTGGGTTTTTGAGGGAGCCCTCTTATTGCTCTGTGGCGTAAGATGCAGTTTAGAAATTAAAAGTATTTTCAAACCTACTAAAACTGATTTCATGAAAAATGACAGTTGATCTTAAAAACATATTTAGAAAACAAACTAGTGTCCTATATAGAAAAGATGTTACTATTTTTTTCAAGTCGATAAAGTGACTGACCCTCAGGCCTAGAATACTTTTCAAAATGTAACAGTACAATGACTATGCATTTATGTGTGGTAAGGATGTCCTTCACAGTCCCAAAATGGGGACAGTCTCTTTGCCAGACAATTTTGATGTTAAACATTAAAGTGCTGGTTTTTGAAGTATATCCCTGTTCTTCTGGCGGAAGCCTGGGTCAGAGATATCCATTTAAATGGATACTGCTTCGTTCAAGCTGAGAACTTTTTTAAAAGCAGCAAAGGCAGAGGCCAAGCTCTAAAATCAGCAGGGCTCCCAGATTTGTGTGGTTCAAAGCTCCTCTTCAGATGAAATTAAAAGAGAGCATGAAGCCTGAAATAACACTTCACTCAATTGATTTAAGAAAAGAGAATTAACAGCAGCAACTATTTAGGGGGCTCTAAACACAAGTGCACACATTGTTGTAATTCTAAATTGTCAGGAAACTTGAAGGATAAATGTTGGCCAAAATGCAAAACCCAAGGTAACATACTGACCCAGAGCTGGAGAACCAAAAGACTGCCTGTGTAACCATCACTTTAAGAAGAACTCCTGAGAAGACACAGAAAGTATGAAGGGCATCTCACTTTTATAACATGTAGGATCACTAAATACTTCAGAAAACACCATAAAGGGAGGAAAGCAAGAATGTCCATGTAAGGAAAATATTCCTTATTAAATCTATTTAAATGCTTTTGGGGACACAGATGCCAACAAGAAATAACAAAGGATTTCTTGTAGTTAGGCTTCCAAAAACTTCTGACAAGCTATCTTACCAAATTTAGTTATCAAGGACTCGGGAGACTGCTTTATCACATGAAAGGAAGTGGCTCACAAGACAGAAACACAGGGACAGAAAAGAGGCACCTACCTGGGGTTGAGGCTGAAATTATAAATGGTTGGAAGAGGGAGCACACAGTAAAATCTGTGCATCCAGAGATGATATGTAGCTCCTTTGAGTAAAGGAAATATCAAACTGATGAGAAAAACACTACCAAAAGGTATGTTTGCATCTGAGCAAGAGAATGGTAATAAGTTTTAATTCAAGGGCTTTATTTTAGAAAACATCTAAATGTTAAATACAATAATAATGCAAGTATATGTATATTAATAGGTTTTGAGTTATCTGTCATAAATCAAGGAAAAGACTAATGACATAGGAAAAGGAGTCATGATCGAATTATACTTGTCAGCTGCTATGCAAATGGAGCCCAAAGGCTGCTACGATACTGTAGAAGTTGGGTTCTAACATATGTCAAAGGAACTAAAAAAGAGTCTGGAGGCTTGGCTAGAAACTAATTATAAAGATTTATTCCAGGGTCTTAAGAGTTTTCAAACTGGGAACACAGCTAGGCAAAACCTCAAAAATGTTCAGAAGAAAGAAAAATTGTGTTCTTATAGTTCAAAGTGCATTCTTGGTAATAATCAGCCCTGCATTCTTAGCCCTAGGATTGGTCCAGGATGACAATCAGTTAGATGTCAGGTGGTCAAAATGATGGATGCCAGGTGGTCTACAGATGGGTGCCAGAGGTCTGGTCATGTCCAGTGGTCTGGAGGAGCCTGACCTGTCTGCCTCTCCAATCTCCCATTTCATCCCCTCTTTAAATGTGCTTCCATTGACTACTGAAATGACCAATTTTAAAAAGCATCATTATTACAGGTAATTTTAATTATTCTGCACTGTAAAAATCAAAGCCCAGCTCTGCAGCTGCAGCCCAGTGAGGCTTTCATCCACATCCCAATGTCCTGGGCCACCAGCCAGGCATTACTCTGTGGGTGCTCCATTGAGCCTCACACAATTAGAAAAGCAGATCTGCCAGAACAATAACAGCAGCAGCTATGAATGTCAAAGCTAAGGAGAAATTATTTTTAGATTTGCTATCTTAGACTATCTGTATCGCTGCTCATATCCACAGGGCCTCAAGGGAATGTCAGCAAAGGGAAATATGAGGACAGCAATGCCTAGGAGAGTGCAGTTAATTTCTAGAGAGGGAAAGTAGGAGATGTGGGAAGAAGGGTAAGGTGTGTCTTAGGTGGGAAGAATTTTCAGGAGAGGTCTAGGTAAGGAAGACTATCTGTGAATAGGACCATGGACTATAAAAAGCTTGGGTGTAAAATCTGGCTTTACCACCAGCTCATGACATCTAATTTCTTTACGCCTCAATTTCCTCATCTGTACGATGAGTGTAAGAGTTGGCTTATTTTATTGAGTTGTCGCTAGGATTAAATGAATTAAATGTGTAAAGTCCTTGTGAGCATTTGCCAGCTACTCCCTTAAGCACAGCTATTATTGTTGATACTATGAATCACCTGGAAGAACAAGAATATCTGCCCTTCTGCCCCTGGAGAACGTGGGGGGTGAGGGGGTTGGGGGGGGAAGGAATGGCTCAAGCAGGCCTTGTCATCATTTCTTTTCCCTCTGTAGCTTCAATGACTCTGATAGAGCTGGGTTTTAAACGGGTCAAATCATAGAAGTTTGGAAAGTGTCTGACCCCGCTCATCCTTGAAGAGAAAAGACATTTGTGACTTACATTCCTTGAGTTTGCAACAAATCCTCCTAAAAACTCCAAACAAAGTAGAAACATTCCTCAGTCTCCTTTTTGTTTAGTTGGCCTATGTGGCTCACTTCATGGGGCCTTGCTTATAAAAAACATGATCTATGTTCAGTATGCAGTTTTTGGCACCTTCTCCTGGCCATTCTTGTCATCTTCATTTCTGTGCAGTGTGAACATGAAGACAAAAGAACTGGATCATTTCTGTCCCTCAGCCCCCCACCCTCTGCTTCTCTAAGAAGAGCGAGCCGAGGCAGAAAGAAGAGAGCTGCCGTGGGTCCCTCAGCAGTTACATCCTGCCAGGACCTCCAGGACAGCCAGGCTTCTCTCTTGTTCACACCTGCAGCTATAACACCTGACAAGGAAGAAGCACTCAACAGAAAAAGGTTTGTTAAATTTGCTCAATAGACTGAATACTGGCCAAAAAAGTGAGAGTTCTAAAACACAAGGGAAATGATTCCACCTCCCTTAGAACCACCCAAAACCCCACCTTACTTGTCCTCCGTAAGACTACAAACATCTGTTTGGAGACATTCCCCCAGATGATAAGAAAACGCACAGGGGGCATGAGTGGGGGGGGGGGGGGGGAATAGGGGGATAAGGACACATATGTAATATGTTAATAAAGAAATTTTAAAAAAGAAAGAAAAAGCACAGGGTGACACTGATAATTCTTCAGAATTCTCTTCTCCAAAAGGAGCACTAGCTAACAAAGCCCAAGCTCTTTACATTCCTTCCAGCTCTTTCATCTGACCATGCCCTTAACCCAGCTTTATTGCTACTGCACTCTATGGTATAAAAGCTATGCACAAATTCCATTTCCAACATTGATTATAAACCATGACTCGAAGTCACTGAGAAGAAATAACAGTCGAGCTTACAATTAAAATTAATAAAAGAGATAAGAAAATAAGAGATATTATAAATAACTATTGGAAAAATCAAACATCCTCCTCTTTGTTTGCATGGCCTTGAATTTCTTACCACCCCATGTTCCCCCATACTAGAGTTTTATAACAAGCACAGTCGACCTACAGGTTAGCAATGTTTTCCAAATGTTTCCTGCAAATGAGTCAGCGATAATGCTTAGAAAGAAACTGTGTTCAGTTGGCAAATTTGAAATGTACTACTCACTCAAAAAGGCAAGTTAGAACAGATACACGTTACTTCTAATAAAAATGTTAGGGACACATTGTTCCTGATGTGCCCAGCCAGGCCCTCCTGCTAACTTTCCCTGTTTTCTATGTGTCTGCCTCAGTGCCTGGAACACACTTGGGTTTCCATTTAAGATTAAATTACTGTGGACTGACTGACTGTAGTGACATTTTTTATAGCCCCATTTGGAGTCAGGGGAAGTTCGGGATTCAGTCTCAGGAATGCAGATTCTGTTCATAATTTTCTATGAGCCGTTAAGCCCTTCACCACTACCACCCCCAGCCTCATTTTTCTCTTTACAATTATGAGGTTGTAGGACATGAGCTCTAAGGTCTTCATCTGCTTTATGTTTCTGTAATTCTGTGACACATACAGAAAGCAACTCAGAAGGGACTGGACAGGCCAGGGAGGAGGGAACAGAGGCAGAGACTGAAGACACATTTCCTGCCTTGGGGAGCTCAGGCTAGGCCCCTCAGAATGAATGGTAACTGGAGTTTGAGGGCAGGAAATTCTTTGTAGGTGGAGGTCATGAGTGATGCATAATAAGGAAAGAGTCTAAAACTGAGGCTTCCTTGGAAAGAGCATGTTGAGAAAGCAGCAGTGAGAATCTAGTCCAGGAGGCAGGAAGACCTGCACCATGTTTCTGAACCAGTTAACAAGACATCCTCATGGGGAGGGGGCTGGGAGTGTACCGTGTACCTACCACAGCTCTCTGTATCCACTACGCCCTCCCACCCTCTAACTCCCACCTGGCCCTTTCTCCACCATCGGGGCTAGAAGGGTGGCACCCCACAGCTCGCCTTTCCCTCATTTCTCTCCCACAGGTGGCTCTGGGCGACCCACATGGAGAGCTCCAGCAATGCTACCATGCCCCAGGGTTTTCTCCTTCAGGGCTTCTCCGAGTTCCCACACCTGAGGCCTGTGCTCTTCCTCCTGCTGCTGGCTGTGCACCTGGCCACCCTGAGTGGGAACCTGCTCATCCTGGTGGCAGTGGCCTACATGCCCAGCCGGCCACCCATGCTGCTTTTCCTATGCCAGCTGTCAGCCATCGAGCTCTGCTACACGCTGGTGGTGGTGCCCCGCTCCCTGGCTGACCTGGCTGCACCCAGCCTTGGCCTCGGCAGGGGCAGCCCCATCTCTTTCCTGGGCTGCGCTGTTCAGATGCAGATGTTCGTGGCGCTGGGTGGGGCCGAGTGCTTCCTACTGGCCGCCATGGCCTATGACCGCTACATGGCCATCTGCCACCCGCTGCGTTATGCGGCTGTAGTGACCCCGGGGCTGTGTGCACGACTGGCCCTGGCCTGCTGCCTCGGGGGACTGACAGTGTCCCTAGGGCTCACGGTGGCGGTCTTCCACCTGCCATTCTGTGGCTCCCACCTGCTGGTGCATTTCTTCTGCGACATCACAGCACTGTTGCACCTGGCCTGCACACGGAGCTATATGGACGAGCTGCCCCTACTGGGCGCCTGCCTGGTGCTGCTGCTGCTGCCCTTGGTACTCATCTTGGCTTCCTATGGCGCCATCGCCACCACCCTGCGCCACAAGCACTCCCCTGGAGGCTGGCGCAAGGCTGCCTCCACCTGTGGCTCGCACCTGGCCGTCACCTTTCTGCATTATGGCTGCGCCACCTTCATGTACGTGCGGCCTAAGGCCAGCTACTCCCCGCGGCGGGACCGCACACTGGCGCTCATCTACACCAATGTCACGCCGCTGCTCTACCCATTCATCTACAGCCTGCGCAACTGTGAGGTCACAATGGCCATCCGCAGGGTGCTGGGGCGGTGGCTGCTGGGCCAACCACAGGGTCAGACTGTATGAACCCTGACAGCGGGCAGGGGCCAGGCCAGAGTAGGCAGCTCTACTCCCTAAAGTTTCGTCTACAGGACATATCATCAGGAATGCCCCCAAGGGGGACTCAAGGATGGGATTCAGGAAAGAATCAGGAAGCGTGTCCACATAAGGAGAGCCTGCCAGCAGTTGCTCCATCCTCCACCCCTCCCTGGAGGAATAGCCAGAGACAGTGTGGTATGGCACCTGAGACCTGCCTCTAGTGCAGGGGTGGGCAAATTGTTTGACTCGAGGGCCACAATGGGTTCTTAAACTGGACTCAGAAGAAGGAGCTGCGGCCGTGTTTCCCGACGTTGCCATGTTAACACTGCTGCTGGTGAAGGAGCAGAGGGGAGAGCAAGAGAACCCTCCGCTCTTTCGGCTCTGCGGGCCGGATAGAACAGCTGAAGTTTGCCCACGGCTGCTCTAGTGCTTTCACAAGCACTGCTGAGTTCTTCCCAACCCTGGGGCCTGCACGGTGGTGGGCTTGCAATGATGTGGGAAGCAAAATGCATGACTGCAAAGAGCTCGCAGACAGGACAAGTATGTATGTTCAAAAATGTTCATGTCAGCACTGTGTGAATCAGCAAAAGATTACAAATTGTTTAAATACCAGCATGTGACTAAATAAACTATGATTTATCCCTATAATGGAATCCTATGCAGCTGCCAAGAAGAAGGAGGGGAAAGGGAGGGGGAGGAGGAGGCAGAGGAGAAGAAGGGAGAGGAAGAAAGGGGAGGAGGAAGAATGGGGAGGAGGAGGAGGAGAAGGAGGAGGAGGAGGAGGAGGAAGAGGAGAAGAAAAAGATCTGTGGCATACATGGAACCATCTCTCATATATGTTATTAAGTGAAAAAGCAAGGGGCACAATAGTGTGTATTAAGGAGTCACCCTTAATTCTGGCCTTGTCATTTGCTATTTCCACTCTTGGAAGTCTCCTCCATCAGATCTTCACAGGCTGGCTCCTGGTCATCCAGATGCCGTCTCAACTCAAATATCAACTCTTCATAGAATAGAGGCCTGCACTAGTTACTCTATATAATATCACCTCTCTGCTCTCTCTCACATTATCATGCTTTAATTTTTAAGCATCTCTCATTATTGGAAATTATCTGACATTTTGTAATGTTTTAATTGGCTGCTCCTCCCAAAGAATATAAACTCTGTGAAATTTGCCTACTTCATTACCTGTTCCTGAACAGTGTCTTATATGTAGCTGCTGCTCAATGTTGAATGAAACAGTGAATGAAACAGTGAAGGTCTGGAAAGGCTAAGAACTGGCTTGGGAGCTGAGGTTGAGATCACAAGGCAGATCAGTCAGTGTTCTGATTGCATTTTTAAGAAATAACAATCTACTCTAGTAAAAGAAGCAGAAAAATCATTTATGAGAAATATTTAGAAACCTGTAGAATCTCTAGGGGGGATTGTAGAGTTGGCGGTGGAGGCAGGGAAGCCATGCCCCACAGTTCTACTGCTAGGGACAGGGCATGTATCATGCTGGGGGTCAGACACCAGACCCTCTGCCCTGAGAACCTAGCTGTTTCCATCACCTCCTTCATTACATGGAATGCCTACTTCTTCACAACACTCTTTCCTAAAACAAAATCATGCGTGGGCATCTGACTGAGAATGTCAGTTATGGGGAAGGGATCTCAGGGGCAGATGAAGAACACTTAGGGAAGGCTTGCTGTGTGATGTGTGATCTAGCCCTGCCTCCTTCAATCCATTGAGCTCCACAGTGAAATCAAGTACTTGTCAGTACTTGATTTACAGGTGGGATTTATGGTTCTTATGGAGGATGCAGTTCCAGCCTGGCCACAAGGCAAGGAAAGGAAGTCTAGAGGGGTGCAGTTATGGTGTGGTTATGTTTGCAAAATATGGGCCTACTTCAGCTTTGTACAATGTCACTACTAAACATGAAAGTCGTGTATCACCGATGAAATGCTTTGCTGCATGAGTAGCTGAAAAGCTTCAGCAGAAGAAATTCATTCTCAGTTTTTTTAAAAAAAAACGGTTTATTTGATTTTGGGTGGTGGGCACATGGTGCTATATACAGATTTTGTAACTTAGAAATCCACACATGAAACCTATATGTTCATCTTGACCAATGTCACCCCAATAAAATTTAATTTTAAAAAAAAACATTTTACCCACAATATTCTTGGAAATGTATGTTATCAAAAAGTATGTAGTGATATAAATTATATTTTCCTATAAGCACATTTTGGGGACTATAGTTAATACTGTATTGCAGATTTGAAAGTAGCTAGAAGAGTGGATCTTGAAAGTTGTCTTCACAAGAAAGAAAATGTGTTAACTACACTATAGGAGCTGGGGGATTTCTTTTGATGTTTTTTCCACTAGACTTGGAGATAGTTGGAAAGAGGGAGGGACTGTGTGGCAGCAACCCTCACTCCGGGCAGCACCTCTTTCTCCATCCATTCTCCACGACACTGGCAGTAAGTTTAGTATTAGCAGGTGCCGGAAGCCGGTCCATCCTTGCTGCTTGACACAGTCGCTGCAGGAAAGAAACATCTGCACAGCATATGTTACAAGGGACCTGGCGTATATAGCATACTGTTCTTAATATGTTTGCTCCCCTTAGCGCTGTGTGTTTTAACCAAGGTCACCTCTCCGAGAAAGGTTGTTTCCCCAGGTAGGAATTTTTCCCTGAAGTCAGGGAGGGGATGAAACTCCTTAACTAAGTGCCAGGCGGGTAGTTAATCACTACAAACAATCATGCTTAAGCTACATAATCTTTACTCCCTGGAATGGAGATAAGAAACGCCCTAACCTTTGTAATAGAAATTGACAGGATTAAAATCAACTGGGATAAATACGGATGTAACAAGACAATAAACAGCAGAACTTCGCTGGAGATCCAGACCAGAACTTGGCTGGAGATCCTGGCTAGAGATCCTGGCTAGGCTGCTGATCAACTGAACGCTGTCTCTGTGTCATTCCTTCTTCGCCGACTCCATCCACACCTTTGGGGACCCCTGGACCTGCTGGGGTTGGACTCCGGCAAGCAGGGACACAGGCAAGATGGAAAAGGGTCCTTGTTGCTTCTGTGTATAGCTTCTGGACTCATGTTTGCTCTTGGATAGCCATTCCCAGCCCCTATACTCACTTTCCTTCTTGGCCTCCCTCTGGCTTCAGTGTCCCCATGCCCACCGCAGTGGCCCGAAGGTTTACTTGGCTGGAATCTATGCCCAGCTGCCCTCCGCAGCCCCACCGTCTGGGAGCTCTGAAGTTTTCTACAATAAATGCAAAGCTTGAGGAACAACTCCAACCAGAGAAGCTTCTAAAAAGGTATTTTGAGCCCAGATGCTGTGGCTCAGTGGTTGAGCATCAACCCATAAACCAGAAGGTCACCAGTTCGAATCCTGGTCAGGGCACCTGCCCGGGTTGCAGGCTCGATCCCCAGTAGGGGGTGTGCAGGAGGCAGCCAATCCATGATTCTCTTTCATCATGGATGTTTCTCTTTCTCTCCCTCTCTCTTCCTCTCTGAAATCAATACAAATATATACGGAATATACATATATATATTAAAAATAAAAAGGTATTTTGAAAACATCTCTTACACAATCCCAAGGGTGGCATAAAGTACTGCAGGCTTGATGCAGAGAACTATTAGAACATCTTTTATTTTACAAAAGAGAAAAATAAGAGAATTTTGAGTTGACAAAGCTCAACAGGATAGAAGTAAATGAGTAAGGGGGAAAATTAGGTCTATTTGTAGCATTGGTTTGACTAGCCATTTTCTCCCACAGTTTTGAACGTATTTCAAATACTTTAAATACCTAACATTCATCAAGGGTTCACCATACCATAGACTAATCACTGGGTTAAGTGCTTTACATGGATTACTTCATATCATCCTCACAAGAGCCCCAGACATTATAATCCTTCCCATTTCACATTTGAAGAAACTGAGGCAGTGGAGACTTTAACTTGCCCAACTGTTATAAATGGACAATGTGGGAGCCAATACTCAGATGCAAGCATCCAGAGTATGGAGCCTACACCCTTAGCTACCAGGCTTTGCTGCCTCCGGCTGAGTGGCGGTCTGCTGAGAAGACAGAACAAACTCTTCTGCTATACAATGTGCACCTAAGACAGGACAAGATCTGAAAGTCTTGGGAAAAGGTCACAGGTAGAATGGGATTTCCAGGGTCTAGACCACCGGATCTCAAATCTATCATGTTGTGAAAACTAAAAGAAACTGGTTCACAGAACGCTGAATTCTCAGGGTATAAACAGAAAATGACTTTATTCCTTCTGACCTCCATGTCCTCAAGCCTGCACAATGGGACAGTCCTTGACCTACCCTCAGACTAAATCCATAACATGCTGCATATTGTCCTAGTTCCTGTGGAAAATAAGTTTCCAGTCACTTTTGAAGTGCCACAGGTTGGAAATCCAAAATCAATTCTACTGGGCTAAGGTCAAGGTGCTGGCAGGTTTTTTTCCTTCTGGGGGCTTCATAGGAGAACCCTTTTCTTTCCCTTTTTAGCTTTTAGTGGCCACCGGCATTCCTTGACTTATGGCCCCTTCCTCACATCACTCTAAACTCTTGCTTTGGTCATCACATTTCTTTTTCCTGACTCTGATTTCCTACCCCTCCCCACTAATAAGGATCTATATGACTATATTGGACTCACCTGGATCATTGAAGATAATCTCCCCATCTTGAAATCCTTAACATTATTACATCAGCAAAGTCCCTTTTGTCATGCAAGGTATGACAGATTCCAGGGATTAGGGTATGGACTTAAAAGGGTAGGATATTATTTAGCCTACCACAGATCCATAGTGTTAGGGCAAATATGTAGGCCTAGAGATGAGCATGAAGACTACAGAAAAAAGCATGTCAGATTCCTTGTCTAAGGCTAAGAAGCCAATTGTATCTAAGAGTAGCAGGAAATACCCGGCCAGAATTCCTTTACTCTGCTTTTTGGAGGTACTAAGAAACATAATTTTGCTTAATTGGGGCAGGAAAAAGATCCTGAAGCATAAAGATACTGCTTCCCCTTCTGCTAACCTCTGTGTAGAGAATGTCAGAAATGTCAGAATACAAAAAGACCTCTATATAAGACATACCTTGATTTTCATCTCAGTTGGCTCTTTATCAATTGTCTGGCTCTAGCCAAGTCTGTGCCTACCTTACAAAGTTATCCTGAATAATGTTTTCCTCTTC